CGTGCTTTGTCCTCACTCGCACGCTTCCCGGGAAAACTTCGTAGGAGGTTACCTATCCCAGAATTGCCCCAAGTCAAGCATGCTTAACTATGGAGTTCTTCCGTTCTGGGCTACCGAAAAATAGGTGCAACTTGTTAGTATAGGTAGTACCAATTAATTCTTATAAGTTATTCCCAACTGTACCGTCTCATGCCAGCACAGTCTCTGGAATCCCTCTTTTTTGGGTGTTGATTCGATTCATTCATGTACTCCCGTCGCTGGAAGCCTGCCAGGAGCCGCTCCTTGTCCATGCCCTTTCGCACCGGTGATCACTCCCCGCCCTCGTCAGTGCCCGGGATGTTACAGTGAACTGGTGCTCTGACAGGTGAAGCAAGTTGCTTGATTAGATGGCTTAGGGTTGAGTTTTACCTTTTTATTCTGAAACCCATATGCCTTCTTTTTCTCTAAACCAATAAGCATTCTTCATTCTCTGTTGTACACGTTTCTTCCTACTTGATTGCTGTACTCTTTTATGCTTTTAGAAGTGCCTTTTCAACGTTTCCTGGAAATAGGGGTGTTCATCAACCGATCCAAACCGATTCATATCGCGGTAACCGAACTGAAAAACCGATAACCGAATAAACCGAAAACCGAAAAACCGATAACCGAAAAAAAACCGCAAATTTTAATTGGATTGGATCGGTTTTTGGATGGGTTGATGAAAACCGATCCAATATATTAATTCCCCTTTACCTACTTGGGTTTTTCCCTAATCATAGCCTAAAAAATTTTAAATCAAAGACTCATTAACCCATCAACTAAACCCAAGAAAAAATCTAGTCATATCTTATCAACACAATTTTATTTTTATAGAACTTCATATCTCATTGCAAAAAAAAAAAACTATATTATAGTTTATTAATGCTTTTGTATTTCAAAAAAAAAAATTACAAAGCCAATATATACAAAAGATGTTATTTGCATAATAATCATGAATTTTTTTTTAGGATTTTCTAAAAACCGAAAACCGATCCAATCCAAACCGAAAAAATTAGATTGGACCGGATCGGATTTGAAAAAAAATTCAAACCGAATAGATGATTATATGATCAAACCAAAGGGATTGGATGGGATGAATTTTGCTTCCAAAACCGATCCAATCCAGACCGCGAACACCCCTACCGGCAAAAGAGTCAGATGAGATATTAGTGGAGCAGGTGTACAAATAAGTCAAACTGTTCCCCTTTTTCTCTTATTATCAGCTGATTATATCACCATTTGTTCCCTTTTGGTACTTTTGTTCTCAGGATCTGGGAACATGTTCTTACAGCAAAAAGTTGGTTACCAGTTGGCGGAACAGATGGATTTTTACCATCAAAATGGGCTTAAGTAGGAATAAATTTTCGTCCCATTAATAATTAAATAAAAAGAGAAAAGTTTTTCATTTATTTGATGTGACTTTTCAAACAAAATAACCGATGTGATTTTAACTCATTTTTTGTGCAAAACGTGGCGTAATATAGCAGGAGAGAGATACTCAAAGACAAGGTGTAATGTGAGTACATCAGATCTAGTTTTGCCAACCCGGCTCGACCCGGCCCGACCCGCATTCAACCCGTAAAAAACGGGTCGGGTTAGGGTTGGCCCGAAAAAATAAACGAGCCAGAAAATCCAACCCAGCCCGACCCGAGCCGGGTTAGGGTTTGCTCGCGGGTTGGATCGATAATCAGCTCGCGGGTTGGCTCGGAATAAAGCTCGCGGATTGGCTCAAAAAAAGCTCGCGGGTTAGCTCGAAATGATGCCAGTGGGTTGGCTCGCGGGTTGGTTAGCTCGAAATATTGGCTCGCGAGTTGGCTCAAAAAAATTAATTTTTGTGGAACTAGTCTTATTTGTTCTCCAACATTGCTATAATTATCAACACTGCCAAAAGGTTCCAACTTTGATCTCTTCAAAGGTACCCAAGATTAGAAAAATAAAAAAGATTGAAGTAACAAATCTTATAATGTCAACAACATAGAAGAAGAACAATGAATCCATTTTCATATATATATTGGGGAAAAATAAAAAAGAAAGATGAGAAATATAGAGAAAAGGGTATTGCACCTTGGGAGTAGTGGATTGCGTTTGTCAAGAAGAGAATAGGCCAATAGACTCGAAGATGCAAGGTTAATGGTAACAGAGTGAACAAGCTATCCAAAGGGGCAGAAGAATCTTTAGGTTAAGGAAAGTGACGAGTGACGACGATATGAGCGTATGGCAGTTTTGGAGTTTCCGTATTTTTTTTTAATACAGTCATTTTTTTTAATTAAAAAAAATACCCAACCCGCGAGCTGGCCCGTTTGACCCGCGGGCTGGCTCGTTTGGGTTTGGGTTGTATCGGGTCGGGTTGAGTCGAGTTGGCAGCTCATTTAGGCCAACCCAACCCGACTCATTTAGGACGAATTGCGAGCCAACCCGACGGGTTAGCTCGTTTTTGCCATCCCTGATCAGATCTTTGGAGGTTAGGCATAATTGAAGAATGGAAATTAAAACAACATTTACATGGATAGAGGGAAAATAAGTAGTTGACTTATGCATTTCTCCGCCAATAAGGTTTGGCTCGGAATCATTCAAAGTAAAAATATTTTAATTTAAAATAATTTTATTTGAAAATTAAATACTATATTTGAAGCTTATTATAAAAATTTGAATTTGAATTAATTTTCATATTAAATTTTATATTTAAAACCAAGTGAAAATGAATTGACTTAATATTATTTCATTATCTTATATTTTTATCTTTATAATATAAAAGACCTCTGTAGAATTAATAATAATATTTAAACTCGTTAAATCCTGACAAATCCTACTATGAAGTTAAAAGTACTTAGAGATATCAAAAATTGCGTAAGGTGGTGTTTGGTAGAGGTTTTCTTTTAAAATACCCAAGCATCAGAGATAAATATTCTTTGTTGTCCACGTTTGGTTGAAGATATCACAAAATTTTGGCAGGAAACATATTTCTCCAGACTTTGATATTTGTGTGTAAAAAAGAGACTAAAATCACTGTGCAATAAAACCACTTCGGATGTGGTATTGTGAGTTAACCGGCTAAATGAATGAAAGAGTACGAAAAATCTGACCATAATACCAGACTTTTGATAGATTGTCTTTATTGGTCTAATGGAGTGTACTGTTTTTCTATGTTAGCTACTCTGCCACTTGTATGTGCTTTCTTTTGGTAGATCATTGTGAATGGATTATTTTATTCTTGTTTGGAGTGTATTGATAGCAGCAAATTAAATGCTCCTTTAAACCTTCTGAGCACATGAGGTGGATTCATAGGACAAATCAGTGGTGGGTGTTGATGTTTCAAATAAAGGGAGGAAGTTGAAACTGTCACATACGGAAGAAGCTTATGTTCAGACAACAAAGGAGTCAAGGGAGAGGGCACTAGCAAGAGCAAGAGAAAGGACTTCGTATAAGATGTGCATATCACCGTGAAGGTTCACGACTTGGACGAAAGGTGCCCTGCAACTGCAAATAAAGTCCAACCATGAATCTGTCTACATAGTTCACACCTCAACCTCACCTTGCCGGATTCATGGTTGCCGACTGGAGAAAGGAGAGACAGAGACAAAGACAGAGATTTCGAAAATATTGATGTTGGTAGAAGACGTGTGTTCTGACAGACCCACTTAATACGCAATGGTTCTTTTCAAAAATTATAATAAAGGGTTATTTTCGTCATTTTAATCATTTTTCCCATTAATATTTTACATTCAACCAAACATAGACTCTGGAAATTTAAATAAATTTGTCTGGTAATATTTCGATAAACCAAACAACTTTTTTTAAACTTTTTTATCTAACTTATTTTCCTACCATATTATATTCCTAATAATTAAAATTTCCCGGTAAATTTTTTTTCTCTTCTGCCAAAGATCCCTAAAGATAAAAGTATTACAAGTAAAGGTATTCCTTAGATTGAGTATACCATTAAATTAGAACATGAAAATCTACACAAACCAATAAAAATTGGTTTGGCTTGTTAAAGATATTCCTTAGGTTGAGTAAACCTAATCAAAGTTGGTTGGTTTCTAATATTTATAACTTTTGAACCCAATGATATGTACACTTTAATCAAAACCAAGCCCTAGCTCATTTAATCATTTTTATGAGAATAATATTTCTTATGTTATAAGTGATAAATTTTATCTCCTATATATACATAAAAGTATATAAAGTACATTTTTTTTTTCTCTTTCTCTTCTCACATGGTTTCATATGAGCCACATACATATATAAGAGATAAAATTATTTTCAGAAACATAATCCCCATTTTTATTTGAAGAAACTTAGAAAACCAAGCTCTCTACTTGTTTTTGTTGCAAAGAATCTTTATATTTAGTTTTGGCTTTTTATTAAAGGTTTGATATCTTTTATATTGCAAGAGATAAAATTATCTCTTACACATATAAAAATATAATAGATAAAACCCTTTTATTAGTTTGTTGCCTTCTTTTTGCTTGAGTTCTTTTTCTTGGTATTTCCATTCTGACGTGGGTTCATGTTTGATTTGGTATTGCTGATCTTTTTTTTATACTAATTCGATCATCATCCAAAACAAGGAAAAATTTATTATGCTGCAGCCCACCACTTATTCGATCATCCCTTTCTATAATTGAAAAAAATAATAATAATTCCATTTCCATCCCTCCATTTTTGATTTTCCCCGCAATCCCTTTTTGTATTTCTATTTTGGAGGGGATTACGATACTCCCCACCCATCAAAAACTCTCCCAAAACAAACCATCTTGTTCTGGATCGAGTTAGGTGAGTTCAGATAAAGAAAAAATTGCAATACCAAACCAATCCAACTCTCCCTCAGTTTCCATTGCAACTACAAAACTACACCACAGTTGATTGGTTTGACTTTTTTATTTTTCTCCAAATTCAAACTAAATCTACGAACACTCCTAACAACAGGTAAGCAAGTCATTTTGGTCATAATTTTATAAGTATGAAAAGATGTCCACCATGAATCATTATCAAATGAATTTATAAACAAAACTAAAACCAAAAATGAGTAAAACAATGAAATCGAGGGTAAACTTGCAAATAAATCCTCACCTAAATTCCATAAACCCACTACAAGCCTTAACAAAAACATAATTTAGTCAAGTAATCCAGAATATTTTAAGATTTTGAAGTCGAATTCCTCAACTTGAAGCTTCCATGCTATACAAGGGGAGCTATTTCCCTCGTCATTGCTCCATGGCACCATTCACATTAAAGTGACACTTTCTTTATATCTGTGAGCATGAGAACTGCATATGGAATTAATAAACATATAAAAGCCACCTGAGTACCACCCAAAATTTATAGGTGTGCAAAAGAAAACCTCAAAATAAATCATTCATGGTGCCCTCAACCATCTTCTCCAAGTCTTCTTGGGACAACAGTGTTTTCCTGCCAGTGCCACCAGTCTTATCATATGGTTGAGCCATTTTCCTGAGGAACTGCATTCCAACAGATAAGAAAAGTGTCGTTATGCAAATCATATCATCAGATGTTCATATACCTAACCTGCAACTATAACAAGGTAACAACCATTTTGTGACCTTGTTCCAACATCAACTAGTGTGTACATATGCATATGTGCATATATAGAAACTTAGCATTTTACAAGATCATTCCATCAAGTGCACTGAAAAAAGACTGCAAGTCAAGTAAGCCTAGGGTCTAATTGCTACTTCCAAATTCCAGTTCTTACTAGGAAATTTAGGACAACACACTTCTTCAGATAAAATAGCAATATAATCTATCTGATCGGAAATATCCAACAGACAAGGAGGATAAGAAGAATTCAACATAAACCAAAAACAAGATGGCCTATATAGCATCCACGGGATATGTAGCGCTTGCAAGTCACTATACAAACTTTAAACCACAATTATGAGGACAGACCTCACGTGCTATATGTAAAGCCATGTCTGTGCTCAAATTCAGGTGGGCATCGCGTAAATGAGAGAGTATCCAACCAGGCAATTTGGAGCGTTTGTCATGTCGACTATACCTACAGACAGTTATGACCAAAACTGCATTTACTGCCAAAATTCTGTCAAAGAGGAAAATAACATAGAAGAATAAAACCATAAATGATGCAATCATCACGGGTAGGTATTCTCCGCACATCTTATAGTATCACATCATAAATTCTGGAAGTCAGTGTGTATGTGCACAACAACAAAGACAAGATAGAGAGAGAGAGATCTATTTCGTATTCTACCTAAGCAACAGTGATATTGCATATGCTACTACATTTATGCAAACTTTAGAAGTTTAAACTGGTTATTTCCTAGAACCTGCAACTATAATTATTGATATTTACAGTAACAACCTCCCCAATTTTTGTTGATTACACCTTTTGTTTTTATGTTGGGTTTAAAATTGAAATTGCCACGACCCTGAACAAACATTATTTTTTTTGCTTAATAAACTGGATTCTAAAGCTTCTTAAGATTCTTTTGTTTAGCACTCAGTATAACAGAAACTCCCAATCCATTTTGGGACAAATACCAAAAATTTACAAAGTGAGAGTTCATTGTGCTTTCTGCTTTTCAAATCAAAGCTAAACTTTCAAACTTTCAGAGGCTCAATCACATTCAAGCAATTGCTGAAGTTCAACGTAGAAATACAAGCAGCAATCCTCACACATTTTCCCAAAATGCGTTCCTGTGTTTATGTAAGAAAAGGACATAAGGATACTAACCTTTTGTCTGCAAAAATCATCATCCCATAATCAGCCTTTGAACGGATTACACGGCCCACACACTGAGCAGCTTGCCTCTGCTTAAGCAAAAATAATGTTACCATACCAAGGGTTCTAGTTTCACTAAGTTTAGGAATCAGACAATCAAATTATCAGCAGTAATTGAGAGAGAGTCATACCAAGGCATCAAATGTCAAAAAATCTCCTTCCTTAATTTGAAAAGTATCCCGTAGATATTCCAGGCGTGCAAGCAAAATCCTGAAAATTTACTAATCCAATAAGTTCTGCAACCAGCAATGTTGTTAAAACGTAGAGTCCACGTAGAAACGGTAGGGGTGAGTAGAAACGGTAAATCTTAAAACGTAAACGAAACATAAGAGTTTACTACATACAAAAAAAAAAATCCAATATATATAAAATCAAAACACACCAATACATAAGTCATCACAAATTTAAGTCCAAGAAAATAAATGTTTTAGTATTTTAAAAACATTTCAATGCTTAATATTTTTATTTAATAATCAAGAAGATTATTAGAATGATGGGCTTGAAAAAAATTAGAATTGTTTATTTATTAGAATTATTTATTTAGTTAATGTTTTTATCTATTTCACCTACAAATGAGTGAAGGATCTGAGTTCAAGTATTTGAGGTTTTGGGGAACGGTTTCAAACCAAAGCCCAATTTTTTGGCATTTGACTCTTGAGCTCCCATTTTCAGAAGCAGCCAAAAAATCAAAATTTCTTTTTATTTTTACTCTCCCGCACGAGAATTCATAGACCCGCGTCATTCTATTTATTTCAATCTCAACTTTCCATCATTATTAAATCAACGATTGTCATTGAACATTCCTACTCCTCAACACGCCACGTCATTGATCCGTGTGCTGCCACAACTGCAAACAAATGACAACCATCCATTCCCTTCTAAAGGAATAAATGGTTAAGATCATAATCTATTCATCCCCCTCATCGTTTTTCTACCTTCAAGCAAGCCTTTCCTCGATCCTCACAAGGAACCCACCTTCCATTTGCGAAATTATGAAGGTAATGAAGTTTGGGCTCCACCCTTTCTGCCACAGCGGGCACCATCTTGAACCGCCTCAAAACGCCAGCCACCACCCTCTGCGTAGCACTTTTGAGTTCGGGGGAATCACCCCAAAATACCCTCTGTTTCTGTTTTTTTTTCTCCAGTGAGTCAACCGAGTTTACCGAGTCAACTCGGCGTTTCAACCGTTTCAACCCCATTTTCGTTTCTACCACCGTTCTGGAACGTTTTTGTCCCAAAAATCGTAAAAACGGACGTTTCTACGAGTTGGAACGACGTTTTAACAACAATGGCAACCAGCAATTTAACCTCAACAATTTTGACAAGGAAAAAGGAAAAAGAAATACAACAGTTATATATTACCCTCATTCAGAAATTAATCAAATGGAACTCACTTGCTTAATGTGTATTGAAAAGGAACACCAAACATGATTACTAGTCTGCCATAATGTCGATCAAAATCTATACCTTCAGCAACCTTTCCCCTGCAAACAAGTAAATATATTCTAAGCTCTAATGAACTTGATAGATAGGTAAAGTAGTAAACTGCACCTGGTAGCCCAATTTGTAGATGAGAAGAAAGAAATCCTCTCTTTTATGAGCAATCGAAGCAATGGAAAGATAAAGAGGGTGGGGCTATTGGCACTCAAATATGCCTAAGAACACTCATTTTCTAGTTTTTATGATCTTTTCTAAATTTATCCAAATTCATCAATAAAAAAATGAACAACCTTTATTTATCCACCTAAAGTTTTTGTTGTATAAGCAATCAAAATTATAATCTGCCTTAAGCCAGGAAGAGTTGCACCACATGCTATTCTAATTTCTAAAAGCCGAACAATATAGCTCTTTTCACATGTGCATTGTGCAAGGGAACAGGTATGATATATGAGCATGGACGTACAAAAGAAAAAAGCTATTGATAAATTATAATTCAAATCTCAAGATCCTATTTTAATGTACAGGTCAAGAAAAAGGCGCTTGAAAGAGAGATATGGAATTAATTATCTCAATCACATAACAGATGGAAGAGGTTCATTTTTTAAACATAGCAAACTGCAGGAAATTCTGTAAATGTTAGGCATTGATACACAACAACCAAGATGCAGCCACATAAAGATAAACCCTCTAATCCACTTCTATTATCAAATCATGAAGTAGAAAGCAGAAATTGAGTTAGAATTATCATCCAAATATTTGACAACAGTACATTGTGCCTACAATATCCTACAAGTCCGCTGGTGCTATATATGCCATTTAATATATCAAAATAAAAAGTAAATATTTCACTTTTTAGTTAAACAGAGTGCAGTTTGATTAAATCTTATCAAGTGTTGCAAAGTAGTAAAAACCCAGGAGGATATATTTCAATTATCTTACCTAGCAACAGAAAAAAAGATAGCACCTCTTCCACAATCACAAGCCTTTCGGTAGTTGTCAAGAGCCAGCGTAGTTTCTACCACATCCTGAGTCTCAATAAAGACAAGCTTATGTTGCATTATTTCCTGCCAAAGAAACGCTGTAAGCATCACCAAACAATATAACAGACACTACTAGTAAAAGGACAGTGGAAACCAAAGAATTTAACTAAACTCACCTTCAGAATTCCAGTTTCATTCCAGCTATTGACTATCCCATCCATATATGAGTAACTGACAAAGAAACACACAATCCCATCCGGAACAACTGAAGCCATCTCCAATAAGAGCCTTCCATAATTCCTTACTACACCCAGATCACTTCTCATATCAAATTTGGTACTGACTGGAAGCTGATCACTGAAACAATAAACCTATAAATTAAACATTAAAAAGAAAATAAAGGGGGAAGCCTTTTTTAAGGAAATCAGATATTAGCCATGCATTAACAAGTTCTGCTTAAAAATATGGAAGAAAAATTGTTGGGTATACCTGCCACGGGTAAGAACCATAGGGCATATGCATTCTCTTGTTAAGGACATTGTAAAACTTCGACTAACTACAGGGTTGAAATTCAAAAGGCGAGGGTACAGATCTATAGGGCTTAGGGTGCCAGATGTAATCACAACTGACTGAAATCGCTCAAAAACTGGCTTTATGGCAAGAGAAGCATCATGGCAACAAAGCTGAAATGTCATTGATGAAGAAGTAAGAAAAATGTAATAGACACACATAGGAATTAAATAAATCTTGCATAACATAGAACTAATTTTAAGGTTTAAACAGTAATAAAGTAAATACAAATCAGAACAACAATGCCAACCTGCAATACAGGATCAGGAATATGTGGCATTCTCTCATCAAAAGGTTCAATTATAATGGAAAAACCACGAGCATACGTGCCCACAAGGGTAGCAAAATCACATATAGTTTGAACATGAAGGAACTCATCGGTGTCTGTAATTTCCAATGTCATCATCAATGAATGAAGGCGATCGTAACAGAACTTCAGAGTTTTTTGGTCAATTCCAGCATCTCTAAGAATAGAGTTAACAAAGCCAACAGGGCCTTCCTTCTCCACATTTTCGGTTTCCAAGCGCCCTTCAAAGTATTGAACTAATCTACGTAATACATGAATAAAATGCTCAGCCCGGCGAATATTTCCAGGTACAGCCTCCTTTAGAATATCATCAGGCAAGGCTGGATTTGCAAGCCAGGCATCGGTAGCTATGTAAAGAAAAGAAGCTTTAGTTAGTGATGACTGGAGGTAACAATAAGACATTAACAACAAAACTGACATTCTACATACCAGGCAGGTCTCCTCTTAGTGCCAAACCCTCAACAAGCCTGTTGTATTCAGCACGGAGTCTACCTGCATCAGTGGCCTTGAACCTTCCTACCAGTTCAAATAGTTAAGATAATGCGAATCAAATTTCAGCTATGGGAACAAATGGAAAATAAAATAATGATGACGTAATATTGCAAAGGAAAAGGCATAGGAATTTCAAGTGCCCCAAGGCAAAATTTGACCCTTTAAAATCTTCAGTTTTATAAATCAACCTAACCAATGTAGGAATAGGAAAATAATTTGCATATTGTACATAAGTTTCCACAATCCCCAGAACCCCTAATTCTTTTTAATCTATGCCCCACCCCCTCTCCTTCCCTATTGAAGTTGTCACAGTGGAAAGTTGGAACCATATAACACAGGAGGAGAAAAGCTAGAAACAGCACATACTTGTCAATTTCCTGTCGCATCCTATTGAGATTTCTTCTAGCACCTTCAATAGTCTGCCTCCTCACACTCACACTAAGTGCTTCAATACAGACATTATCGATATTATGAGCCTCGTCAAATACAACCACGGATTCTTTCTGCATTTCCTTAGATATTATGCCAGCCACCTTAGGATCAAGCAAATACTGATAGCTATACACCACCACATTGGCAAACTGCACCATATGCCGTGCCAAATAGTAAGGACACCACCCCTTCTCCTTCCCATACGCTCTCAGATCCTACAATCACAAACACATTCAGATCCAAACATTGTAGAAATTCTGTCAAAAAAAAGCACAACCACACAGAACCATCGGAAAACGAGCACAATCAAAATTCAGTCAACCACACTTGAAATTCAGAGAACATACGAAACCAATTCTGGCATTCTGCTCAGTTAGTTAGCAGAAATAGTTGTTCAATTTAGTTAACTGTGTTCTGTTATCATCAGATTATTCATTTTTCTGAGTCAATAAACAACATTTAGATTCTCTCAAATTTCCCTCCGTGCATTTTCTTGGCATTCTTCATAAACGGATCAAAATCAAACACTTCACTCAACCAAAATCAAATTCAGCTAACCACACTTAAAATTCAGAGAAAACAACTGATTCTGTTCAGTTAGTTAGCAAGCAGAAGCAGTTATTGAATTCAGTTTGTTGTCTGTGCTCAGCTATCTGTATAAACATCCGTACTCTGTATCAGACTCTGTAATATCAGATTATTCGTTTTCTGAATCAATAAACAACATTCAGGATTTTCTCAACCTTTAAATTTTCCTCCTGCATTTTCTCAGAACTCTTCAAAAAACCAATCTAAATAAGAAAAAATAAAAATGAGCAAAACCAAAAATCAGAACTAGTTAAAAAAAAAAAAATTTATCACAACCATACAGAACCATTGGAAAATAAGCCAAAATCAAAATTCAGTCCACCACACTTGGAATTCAGAGAACATCCAAAACTGATTCTGTTCAGTCAGTTACCAGAAGTAGTTATTCAGTTCAGTCTGTTATTAGTTTCAATTCCGTTATCCATGTTCTGTTATCACCAACATTTATATTCCCTCAACCCCTCAAATTTCCCTCTCTGCATTTCCTCTGGAATATTCTAGAAACCAAAATTAAATTAAAATCCAAACCTGCAGCGTATAAACCCCAGGCGGCAAAACCGCGGAGGACCCAGCGCGCTCGTATTGCTCGAAGAATTCGCAGGTGGGGACGGAGGGGTTCTCGGCGGCGAGAGCCCTAACCCAACTGGCAGTCAATTTACGGCAGCCGGCGTCAACGGAATCGCGATTCTCGCCGGCAAGGACGCGGCCATTAACACAGAGGTTTTTCCGGGAGGAGAGGCCGAGGGCGAGGATTTTGGCGGCGGGACCGAGGTGTTGGAGCTGGTAATTGTGGAGGAGACGAAGCTCGGCGAGGGTTTTCTCCATTTCGTGGACGGTGCGGGTGCAGTAGAGAAGCTTGAGAGGGGAATGGGGTTTGGAGAGGACGTAGCTTGTGATGAGTGAGAGAAGAGCGATGGTTTTGCCTGTTCCTGTTGGCATTTCTAGAAGACAGTGACCCTTGGCGTCAAGGGCTCGTTTCAGTTCCACCATGTATGCGTATTGTTCTGGGTAGATGTTGTCGTAAGGGAAGTACACTGTAACGTCTTCTATTTTGAACTTCATTCTTCTTCTTCTTTCTTGTTTCAGTATTGGGGATCGGTGGGTGGTGCTGAATGGGGATCAGTAATCAGCATGAACAAGAAGAAAAATAACCCTCCCTTCTAGGGTTTATGAACTTTTCCAATAAACTAGTCCTCTCTTATGCTTTTACTTCTTCTTTTTTAAATAAATAAATAAATTATTATTATTAATTAGTAATCCCCTTCTTATAATAAAAAATAGCTCTAAGTTTTTTTTTTAATTGGAATAGAAAACACAAACTCCTATTATTTTCTGTTGACATCGTATGAGTTTGACATGATATGAATATATCAATATAAATACGACATAAATTTTTATTTGTGACAAAACTTTGCAAATTTTGTGATTTGATATAACATAACACGGATAACACGAAAATTGAAATTTATGAATTTTTAACACTGACATAAATCACCTTTTGACACGGTATGAAAAACACAATTATATCTATAATTATAAATTTACAAGGTAGCATAGCACTAACGCATCCAATTATTCGCATTAAATTTCATCAAGCTACATGCTAGCAAAAGAATATAGATCTTCGACATGGCAAAAGTTAATATATTCAAATTTCTAAGGCAACACCATCCAATTCTCCAAAGAAATTATCACAACCAGTGTGTTTGTTGAAGAAAACGAGAAATATCGAACATTAGTGTGTGAGTTTGTGAAGAGCTATGTCTGACGAAGAACATCACTTTGAGTCGAAGGCTGATGTTGGTGCATCAAAGACTTATCCACAGCAAGCTGGAACCATCCGCAAAAATGGTTACATTGTCATTGTTACAAAACTAATATTGTCCCAAAGACAATACATAACTAACCAAAAGTTGCATATAACTAACAAAAGTGCAAAGACAAATAAGTACATTCTATTATCAGTAGTATTGTTGAACTAAATCACAAAGTAAACTCCAAAGTCAACACATAACAAAATCATTAAATGAAGTTATTGATCTATTGAGAAACTATTAGCTTCATAAGGAGTTGGATTTCTATTTGATTCAGCAGCCATCTCATCTCCTTCGTGATATTTTTTGTTAAGTCCTCCAATAAAGTTGCATGCTCTAGTATAAGGGAAAAAATTTGAATTAAATAGCACAACAAAAGTTTGGTAAATTATTCAATAATAATTACATAATTGGATACACTTTAAATTGAACCAATAATGCATAAAAATACCTTGATATCCATATAGCCAATCTTGTGCAAACTGCAACTTCCACTATGTCAGATTTAAGTGTGCTTCTATATTGGTCAAGTACTCTTCCCCCAACACTAAAAGCACTTTCTGTAGCAACATTAGAAATAGTTATTCCAAATGCATCCATAGCCATTACTACAACCTCTGGATACATATATTGATTAGTCCTCTAGTATGACATTACATCCAAATCAGAATTCCTATAAAGCCTTGGGTCCTCTAAATAAAGTTCAAGCTATGTCTTTAGGCACACAATCACTTGATTAAAGGAATCAAATTCCTAACAACATATTCAACTCATATATCTTAATAATATATAGAAAGGAGAACCAAACTTTGAAAACTTTGCTGATGTGTCACTTCCTCCTTAATCCTCAGCTTTGTGTTCACACTGGAGATAGTTTGAAAAGTTACTTCTTTTGGAAACGTTTTTTTTTCCGTAAATAAATAAATTCTACAAAGAAAGGAGAGTTTCTTTTAAATCATTATAAAATACTTGGGGGCAGACAATTAAATTAATGATGTTCTCAATTCAAAATTCAAAATTGAAATTTGAAATGGGTGGGAAACGCATAAATAGAGGCGACTTTATTGTATTAAAATACTTGGTAGCAGACAATTGTACTAATGACCTTCGAAATTTGAAATGGGTGGGAAGAATAATTCAAAATATATAGTGGAAGACACATGTATTAATGATCCACTACTTTCTGCATGGGTAGGTGGGAATGTCCTTAGTGGCAGACAATTGTATTAATGTCCCACTAATTTTTCAATTTGAAATTTGAAATTTAAACTTGAAGTTGGTGGGAAAATATTTAAAATTTAAACTTGAAATTTCGTGTATAAATAGGATATGTGTGGCTGCATATTTTCCATTGTTAATTAGCTTTTGTGCACATATTTTTTTTTTTTGTTTCTATCTATTCATCTTCTTCATCTTCTCAAGTTGTTTTTCTCCATTATCTAACATAACATTTTTTTTCTGTAAATTGCAGGTGATTGCAAAACAAACTGTGTAGATATTCTTAATCCATCCTTTATGCGTTCTGGTCGATTTGATTGAAAAATTGAGTTCCCACGTCCAACTGAAGAAGCAAGAGCCCGTATTCTGTAGGTATTGTATCTTTAAACTTCATTTACTATTTTTTTTAAGGAACATTTACTTATTGCTTTCACTCTATTCTCAAAAGATGAATGTTCACCCAGTTGTCAATTTTGAAGAATTAGCTCAGTCCACCGATGATTTCAACGAAGCGCAACTAAAAGCTGTTTGTGTTGAGGCTAGCATGTTGGCCCTTCATCGCGATGCATTTGAGGTTTACTTTCTTCTAGATATGAAACAACTTTATAGTTAAAAAATCATGATTAATCTAGCATGAATTTACCGGGTTGTCATTTCAATCTAAATCTTTCTTTTTCTTTTATTTTCATTCTTTGTTTTCTATTTTTTGTTCGATCGCAGGTGAACCATGAGGTCTTTAATGAAGGTATCATTCAAGCCCAAGCAAAGAAGAAAGCAAACTTGAATTATTATGCATAAGCACTCAAGGCAACGGAAAACCGACAATGATGTTTTGACATTCATTTTACTTGAATCATGTGTAACTTATAGCGTGCCAATATAACCCCTTTTAGATGAATTCATTTTAGATGAGTGTTTTGTTTAAAAAGAAAAAATAAATGTGTAAGTTGTAATATTGTGTTGTATTTTTTTATTTTATTCTTAGTTCATGGATCCCACATTTTTATACTTTTTTTCAATAAAAAATGTTATAAAAAAGTTTGTATAATTAAATTTCACCCTTCATTTTTTATAATTAAATACCTAAATCTGCTTTCAATTTTCTAAATACTAATTTGTAAAATTTCAAATATTAATTTGTTTTAAATTCCAACCTTTGCTCAATGTAGCGAATATTTTAATGTCTATAAATTTATGAGACACTTTAACGTTACAATTGATGTTGGTGGTGGCTGTTAGTATTACGTTGATGTTAGTTTTATCTTAATAAAGTATTGAATGTTACATTTAGATTTAGTGCAATTTTAAAGCCAACATTTCTCATGCATGTTCCCAAATTAAAAATAAATGAATTCCAATATCCATTATTCTTTTTTTTTCACCACATCTTTGCATAGAACTAGAAGGGCAATTGTGATTTTCGAGATGCATGGCTGTTCATAGTTTTTAGAAGATTGAGGTTAAATTAAATCCTTATCTATTTAACAAGTAAACATTTAGCTTTAAGTTCACGCGTGCAAAAACATGCAACTAATTCTATGCACAATTAATGTTGACCTGATGAATGCAATTAATGAAGGCAACAATTCATTTTTTTATTTTCAAAAAAAAAGTTTAGAAAACATGCAACTATTTAGTATTTAACTGTTTATTTTGCATCCTTGCCTTTTAAAAATATAATTCAATGATGCAATGTTGTTTTATTTTGTAGTAAATACACAATGTTGTTTTGAGTTCTAACCATTTCTCTGTACAAATATTTGAAATACGAAAAATACATGGGGAGGTTAATTACTAGCTTTGGAGATACGAAGAGTCCTATGTTAACTCTCATTTTAAAAAGCATTCAATGTTTTTTTTTCATATTTATCAAAAAATCAAAAGACCCAAAGAAAAGAGTTCAACATTAATTAGTGGCAGACATATGCATTAATATCTCACTTCTTTTTTAAATTTAAAATTTGAAGTTGATATAGGTGAGAAAAGAATTTAACATCTTTTAGTGGCTACGGAAATCTTTTAGAGTAGTTTGTATGTTTGTAATTTTTTTATCAATATAACCCTCATCTTATTTAAAATATAGTTTTCTTATTCACACATAAGTTGTTACTTTTAACTTTTACGAATTCAATCTTTTCTCTCTCTTTTGTTTCATAAAACAATGTTCTAAATTTGATTTTTGTGTATTTTATGAAATAAAAAATTTGTACAATGACACTTTTTTGTTCCGGTAAACATAATGACACTTTTACTTTAACATAAGAGACTTCTTAAATATTTTTTTTTAATTATGAGATATGATTTAGTTAGCAAACTAAATTTCATGCAAACGTAATGGTTTAAAACCCAATAAAAATTCTTATAATCAAAACTAAATTAACATTATAGTAAAAATTAATCTTTCTCTAAATAGATAAAAATACTTTATAGTCAAAATAAAAAAATATGAAGAAAAAAAAACTCACTTCGTCTGTCACTTTTTTTTTGAAGTCTAGCTACAGAGCAAGTCAAAAATTGATCTTCGTACCCGCTGTTTCCTATTTTCCTAAATACTAAACCCATATATATAATATAAATTAAAAGAGAAGAAACTTATTTTTTAAAAGTATGTATAATTAATTCTATTATCATGTTGAATTTTAAAATTAAATATATTAGAAAGAAATCAAATTTTTATTCTTTTGATGAAAGAGTGTAATTAACACAATTTCCTATGTCGCTGATTACCTATAAGCTATTACTTGGAGATTGGAGAATGTGCACAGACTTTTATGCATGTTTCCCTTTATTTTTTGCATAGAAAATTGTTAAGCTTATTAATTTATTATTATGTCTATTAGGAGGCAAAATTTTTAATACTTAAAATTTAAACTTTCTAAATTTGAATTTTGAACTTGATAGGTGAGGAAAGGTTTAGCATTTAATAATGCCCACTACTTTCTGCTTGAGAAATTATTAAGCATATTAATGATAGTTATTATTATGTCTATTGGTCTTAATTATTATACCTATTAGAATTAATTATAAACTGGAAAAAAGATATGTATAAAATGAATTTAATTTTAATAAAAAAAATTATCAAATGAAAAAAATATATAAAATTATAAAAATATACTTT